CCCCTAAAAAGGAACTACCGGGGCTTCAAGAGGGCATCCACGCCAGTGAAATCGACCAGGTTTTGGCCAGGTGTTCAACAGTCTACCCTGCGACAGCCGTACATACACCCTTCGATTGAGCAACGAGAGAAAAAAAGAATAACTGCAGCGGGAGGAGGACAGAGAGCAAACGACAGTGTAATGGAAGGAGAAGGTTTAGAGGAGTCGCGTTGGCGTGGGTCAGTAGACGGTGAACGCAGTAAGGCCAGTGGGATATTCGATACGTGGCGTTGAGAGGGGTGGTGCCACCCTAGCGTGGCACGTGGGGCAATACCAGGTGTTGCCTCGGCAGTAGCTCGGGTCGATTGTCGGCGTGTGCGCATGTGCCCGGAGCCACCGCCTGGCCCCCTCGCCCCTCACCCCTTCGGCCCCACTCTCGCAGAGCTCTCACACATCCCAAGCGATTCTCCGAGCACCTCCAAATGTCTTTCGGCCTCAATTGTTCTCCTCATTGTCTCAAAAATCACGAAATAATAAAAATAAAAACCGTTCTACTCCCCCACATTATTTTCTCCAATCCTCACAGTCTCGTAATCCTTCATTAATTATGATCTCCGAGGGCCTCGTGTACAGTGTAAATAACTGGACTCTACTGGTTGGAAAAATCGGGGTGAGCCGCAGTAAAAGTGGTGTGAGAAATAAAGGGGCGGTGAGACGCGAGGGGAATTGTAGTTTTGAGAAGTAGGGGGTGAGAGAGGGAGATATTCACAACGAAGAAGGAAGAAGTGGAACGTCTGCGCGGAGGGTTGAACGCGTCCCCTGTTGTAGGCAATCCCCCTCCCCCCCCGCGTTATCCCTGAATAATCGTGTGTGTTGGTGCACTCACTCTGCCACCGCCTGACAGTCTCTGCTGCACCCCGTAAGGGTATTGGGAAGTGAAAAGCCCGAAGCCCGCAAGAATCGTGCGGTTCCATACACCGTGAGAGACAGCAGTGGAGTTAACATCATCCAGTGGGAACGAATAACTCAATACACCACTGAGACATCGACAACGACGACATCGACGTCCTCTTCATCGTCACTTGGTATTTAATTATCAAAAATCACACATCACTGATTGATCATTTCGTCGGGGGTGCGAGAAATTTTGATTGATTATTTTTGAGGATCAATTGAAACCTTAAACGCGACAAGTGAACGAGTGATTGAGTGAGAGGCGCTGAGGTGAGGGGATTGACAGCGATGATGATTGTGGAGGATAATTGGTTAGCTGTGCATTGAGGGGCCGAATGACGAGGCACAGTGGCTCGCTTACGCCACCGAAGCCGGCTAGTGCGAGTCACCACCAGAGGAGGCTAAAAATTTGCGTTAAACGAAGCCGACGGAGACGCCGTCGGTGTCGCGTTGTCGGTGGTGAAAAATCAAATAATAAATTGTGTTGGTGATGATTACTGTGCTGGGAGTGAGCGAGTTCGAGTGAAGTTTTTATTAGCAGCAGTAAAATCTGATGAGTCAGGGCCGATTTCACCCGGAAATTCTGGCGAATTAATCGACGAACGAGAGCAACAGAGAGCTATTCAAAATGCCGCGCTGCTTGATGGCGAAAAAATGGAAGGCCTATCCGTGGCCCGATAGGCAGGATGACGAGGACACTACCAATGTTGATGCCAAGGACACCATCGAGATAACGAACACAGGGAGCGACATGATTGACACCGTCCACGATAGAAGACGAATGATCGTTGATACCGAGGAGGAGGAGATTGACGTTGTTGGTGATAGCACGAGTGATGGCAACAGGGCGAATCAGCAGACATGCTGGGGTCCACACAGCCCCACTGCCGGCACCACCGCGCCTAGTCCACCACCGCTCAATGCCTCAGGGGCACTGTACTATCACGGTAAAGCCACCATTAATTCCATAAATTTACTTTTTTTCGTCATTGCAATCTCCCCACGCCACTTATTTTTTATCTATGCCACGCCCCAAGTTCAGATTCTCCGATAGAAAAATAGGGATTCAGGGGGGGGAGAAGTATTAAATCCTCTTGTGAAAACAACGTAGCAAAGTTTTCATAACTTCACGGATTTGTTTCATAAAGTTTGTTTTACCATTTTTCTCTCCTCCTTTTCTCTCTTTTTTTTTTGTCGGAAACAGTTTCAACGACTTTTTGCGGATGACGCTTGTGCCCACTCCCCTCCGGGCGAGGCCGCGTGTTGCGCAGACTTTCAGTGTGTTACTGCTGTCTCCCTCAGCTACATTCATTCTTTCATCTTCAGCAGTCAACCCCTCTCAATCCACCCACTCCTTCCCGCTGCGTCTCAACTGTCCGGAATGAGGGGTGGTGATTCGTCTCATCCTTGAGGAAGATCCACCCTCAACAAGACGTACATGGAAGATAAATTGTGTAACCACTTACACGCGTGATACGCAACAATGAGGAGGGGGGAGAAGAATGACTCGATCCAAAATGCTCATGAGACGTGATGAAACTCCCCAAACGTCGCCAAGCTACGTCTCTAATGCCCCTTGTTATCTTATTGTCGGATTGGATTACCCACGTTCGTATAAGTTCTCATTCTCTCTCGAGTCGGAATGTTTTTTTTTATTTTCCACGGAGGCAGGGGCTGATGAGATTCCGAGAATTGATAGGACAGTCAAAAGTTTTTTTTTGTATTCCCCTCTGAGTGGAGATTGGAGTGATGTGGGCACACCCCGATGTCCACATCAGCCTCGAAGAGGATAAATGAGCCTCGAATGATCGGGAAACAATTTTTTTTTGGTTTGGAAAGCTCACCGGGATTCTCGGGTCGGAAGAGTGTTAATGAAAATAAATGACTATTGGTCACTTTCCACTGGGTTAATTGCTGTCAGATTGATTGGCAGTTTCAACGGACTTGACTGACGGCTTATCACTCGGCGGATGGATTAAACGCGTGCGTCAAACAGTTATTGCTGTTGTTGAGCCGCTGCACGGAGAAAAAAGTTTTGATCCTCCGAAATATGCCAATGATTTGTGGAAATCTGTCAAGAATTACTGGGACACGGGACTCTGACTAGAATAGTCAGCGATTTCTATCTAAATGTCAGTGGAAATTAGAGATAATATCACGAAATTTCAAGATTTAACAGTCGTCGAATTGCAATCGCGAAGGCAGTGACGTGAACCTGAAAATTAAAACGCTTTTTTGTGGTGATTTCCTTAAAGAGAAAAAAACAAATTTCAGAATATCACAGCAAAAACGAATGTCTGAATTTCACACACCTTTTGTAGACATTTTTCAGACACTAAAGAACGTCTGAATAAATTGAAAATTTTCTTGAATTTCAAACATAAATTAAGATGTTGGGGCACCGCTTCGTGGGAAAATCAGACACGTTTTCATTTTATTCCGCCGTTTTTTACTGCCTGAAAAATATCTGCAAAAGGTGTTTAAAATTCAGACAATCGTTTTTGCTGTGATATCATTAACTTTCAAGAATCTGTCCCCAATTATTGGTAATTGACTAAAATAACTGAAATTCAGTGATAGATTCCTAAAAATTAATGCCTGTCACCAGAATTGATTAAAAAATCACTGACTGCCACACAATTGAGGATACATTCCCGAAATTCAGCAACATGTCCCTGAAAATCAAAACTTTTTCTTCTCTGTATTGGTTTTCCGGGGGACGAGCATAAAAAACTGAAAAAACAGGTAGAGAAATGAAGATGGGGAGCACGGCGTCGGTTCTTCTCACCTTTCACCCACGTAATGCCTCCTTTGTAGGGGCTCCTCCGCTTCGATCCGATCGGCGCACTGCCAGTTTAGCGCCCGCGGGCCGATTGCACTATAACCCAAGCATTCTACCCTGAACTTTCATTCCCCCCCCCCCTAAATTTTCTCTTTCCTCCTCATTCTTTATGCTCCCGTGCATATAGAGTGCTATTATTATTCCCACGCGATAAAAGTAACCTTTGTGCCAGGTTTTTTATCCCTCCCTCAGACCCTAATCTCAATTCCTAATGAAAAAAAAAATTCCGAATTGACCTTATCTCCAAATATCCCCAATTCATATTTTACCCCGCATTATTTTCTGCATGCACAAATCGATTATCGCGGAAAAGACAGTGCAGACTTACTCAACAAGTGGTCAGTTCTGTACGTGATGCTCTTCAACCTAAAAAAATCAATTCGCCATTGCAATTCCAAACAGAAGAAATCGAGCGATTATTAATCGATAACAAACACGTCGATGTTTCAAACTGAAAATAAATTCTCAATTGAATCATCAGATTGGATGTGACACTGTGAGCAAAGAGATCGGATTCTGTGGCCTAGCCAGTGAGAGTAATACAATCGTATCACCGAGTGGATGGATTTAATATCGGTTTTGGGGAGGATCAAGCGGATTGTGAATAGAGAGTGGCCTCCTCGAAACACCCGAGGGTGAGGGGGGACCGGCGAGGGGTTAACAGTGGAAAATATCAACAGCCCGGCGGCGTGCAGCCGAGCGTCCATTCGATGTTATTGATCCTTTCCCCTCCTGTTGATGAAATGAATGTCTAGATACAGAGTGGGACCCTCTCCTACCTCTTTAACAACCTCCGCTTGCCTCTCGCACCCCCATTGGCATCGCAAACCACCCGCCAGCCACCCCCCACAACCCCGCGAGTCCTATCTGTTGACTTCCTTTTATTTCAAGCCAATAATAGCTGGGCCAAGCCGGAGTCGAAGATCGATAGCACAATTTTCTGATTTATTGTTCCCCATACCACCCCCCCCGCCGGCGAACTCCCGCCCATTGTTTTTTTCACCACACATGTGCAGAATATGTACGTGTTGTACCCGCGGAAGTGTAAAACGCCTTGGCGTGTAACAAATTGGATTTTAAACGAGAGCTCGCAGGAACCATTCCTCGTTAATTTGCATTCTCTGGGCATTGGAGGTTTTATTGGGTTTATTTTTTTATTGAATGCAGTCTTGAGATCTTTGAGGAGTGATTTGGGTGAAATTTCGGTCGATAGTATTGACGATTTGGTTCTTGGAATATTCGAGGAAATTCGAACTGTTGGGTTGGGGGTACACAGAGAGAAATATTCAATAAAAATTATGTATCTTTTCCGTAATTCCAGAGCGAATGTGGTTGTAGGAAATTTTACGGAACTGTCGCGGAATTTTTCCAGAGCGTTCCGTAATTTTTACCTGAATCTCCTGTGAAAAATTACGATACCGTCACTTGAATTTTCTGAGTCGATTTTCTGAGTAAGCGGTGAGCGAACTATGAGTTCCGTAATTTTTACTGAACATTTCTTTCCGTGTATGGGAATTACTGAAAATTGGGGAATTCGGCAGACTATTGTTTTGAATTATCAGTGTATTGGAGATTCAGATTGTCGTTGAAATATTAATTATCGCATAATAGGAAATACTCAAACTCATTGAATTTTCGCGACTGAGCAGAAATTTCACGGACGATTTGATTTGAAAATAAATTCGAATTGAATTCAGAGGTTAAATAATGGGGATTTTGGGGACAGTTTAGTGGTAATTTCCGGAAAAGTGAGATTGAATTCCATCTGGATAAAGAAGGCCTGAAATTTCGCGCTCCTATTGTAATTCAAATCAATTTTTCTCAATCTCCCTAACATTTACTGAAAAGTTTGAAACGAAATTTACATTTTCCATTTTTTTTCCGTGCAATTTCTCGTTTTCTCGTTTCTCGTTCATATCCAGAATAATCTTGGCTCCCCTCTTGTCAACGTTAAAATCCCATCCAACAATATCCTATGACACCACAAAAATTTGGAGCTATAAATTTCCCCTCTTCAATTTTCTCAGTGTCATTCTTCAATGCCAAGACTGGATGACATTTCAGTGGAAATATCACTCTTTCAAAATTTTTTTAATGTCCAGAAAAGTTCGATTCAATCAGACCAAAGTAAAAAAGCATTACGCAATTTCATATTTCAATCATAATTCAAGTTTCCACCTTCCATTTTTCTTCAGTATGTAAACTAACATCGAGAATAATCTTGGCTGCCCCTTATCCTGCGCCGCCACAAGGATTTAGAACTATAAATTTCCCTTTTTCAATTTTCTCAATCTCATTATGCACCGAGAATATTGTCCAAAATTGTTAACAATTGACGCGAAAAACTGAGACCAAAATATATAACCCCCTGACTGTTTTCACTGCCCCATTAATTTCCATCTCCTCCAACTTTCAGTGCAGAATTTGATAAAAGTGACATTCCCTCCCTCATAAATAAAAATTTGTGATAGAGCCAGCCAAGTGGCACCCTGTGATCGAACGTCAAAACGGCACGATCTTGATAACAATCACGTGAATGTTTTGAGCTGGTGTACGCTCCTCGTATCCCTCACAGTGCGGTAGCGAGTGTCGTTTGAAACGAACAGATGCAAGGCCGTCACGTATTATTTCACCCATATTTCGTTCCTCCTTTGCATCGAATATTTTTCATGCAACAGATACATACAGGGGTGGGTTCTTCGTCCTCATTTACGTGCATAATACAGTGATTATTTTTTATAACAACAGTGTTCACCCCCCAACCACCGGTTACCCAGTCGCTGCATTTGTACCTTGTATATGTGTATATGTGCAGAGAGGCCGATAATGGCGGCACATGGCAGAAACAGCTGTCGTACGACCCAGCAAATGGAACTGTTCTCCAGTAGCCGCTGGGGGGACTGATTCACGATGATTCAAATATTTATACCGCGGGGGGTATTTATCACTCATTTTTCCCCCGTGAAAATCCATCCGGATAGTTTTCTTTGAACACTTTGGGTCAATTTACCCAATAATTTTTTCCCCACTTAATTGAAAAAAATTCTATCACAATAGTCAAAATTTCAATATTTTTACGAAATTTTTAGAGTAAATATTGTCGTTTCTGCTGGATTCATTGCAAAATGTTGAATAACTCGACATTTTGTGGACAGTTTAAGAGTATTTTTCGATAAAGAGCTATTGAATTCAATTTAAGAGAAATAGGTTCACAAAATTTCAAGTTTGAATTGAAAATAAAAAGTAATTTACAAGTTTCGAGTCGAAATAAGATAGACTTGACAATTAATTTAGGTTTCAAGAATATCCTTTCCTGAATTTTCCTAATTTTTACTCATTTTCGTTAAGGAATTTAACTGAAGTTCCCAATTTCGATAGATTTTTTCAGCAAATTGTGAATTTTCAACGACGAGATTCATGTACACGATTCATGTACAACATTCAATTGATTTCAATATTGAATGTTAATAAAAAGTTTGAAAATTCAACCTGTCAATTCGATCCAAGTGACTTCAAATTCCCACCATTTAAAAATTCTCACGCTGTTATTTAACCCATAAAAAAACCCAGCCAGAAATTCTAATATAAATTTCTCTCCATGTATTCTGTCCCGTCATTAAACGCCGAATTCCTCCACGAGCTCGTCTCTATCTCGAGAAGGTTTCAAGATCATTATTCGAGGGAAAATCCTTGCGGGACCAGAGGCGTGTCCTGAATGAATAATGTACCATTCCGGTGATCGGAGCGATTTATTACACTCCTCAGTGGCAGGACCTATATAGGGCTCCAAGAAAAGGGTACGTGAATGCCTCTGTGCAGGAGAGTTGAAATTCCAAATTGGCACTGGAGGGCAGAGGGTTTGCCCCAAAAAAAACCCCATCACTATCGCCCAAGTATGAGAGTAAGAATGCCATTGGTGAAATAGAACGACGAAAACTTTTCGTCAGACGGAAAATCTCGTCCGTACAGACTGTGGAATCCGCTTTGAGAGAATCTCGAGGACATCTCAGAATTTCAAACTTCTCGTTCCCCCTTCGACAAAGCGTCGTTGATGTTTTCAAATTCAATTCCATGTATCCTCTCGCACCCCCACCCCTATTTTCCATGACAAACACCGGAATTTTTTCTCCGTGAGAAAGATCCGCCCCGAAAAACTTGAGCCCCTGGCATTTGAAAACCCGAGGCCATAAACCGTAAATCGTGTAGTCGCGTGCCCTTCACAAGAACACACAGTGTTATATGATGCAGATGATCCCCGGCTACTGTCACATTAATCCTGAATATATCTCTCTTCCACTCGATCAGTCGAGTTCGATCCCTCAGTTACGGTTACGCCTCACTAGACCTTTTGAAGCTTCCCACACCCACCCCTCACCCCCCCATATCGCCAATTCTGCGATTAAACCCAGCACCATCGCAACAATTCATCTCGAAATAACCATTGAAACTCTTCTGATTACTGATCATTGAAAAGTACAAGCTTGATGTTGCCGGCGACAGTAATTCGTCGCTGCTGGATCTCCTGAATCCCCAATTCGAAGAGAGAAACCTTCGCTCTGATTAATATCGTTACTCGCATCAGCGATCGACTCAATCAAGTCCGCATGAAGCTGTTTCCGGAGAATTCTTCCTAGTCTTTTCTGTGTCAGAAATTTCTTGAAATCATTCATCAAATTTTTTATTCGTCTTGAAAATTAAAGAAAATTTTTCAATAGATTAAGAATTCAGAAAACTTGTTGCCTGAATTATCCCGATTTTCAATATTGTCCAGTGTCATATGGACCTGCAAATTGAGAATTCATTAAATAGTCAAGAAATTAACTGATCCGCCAATAAAGAAATGTACATTAATTTCCTGTAACTTTGTCGTTGTTAAAAATTACAAGAGTAATGTTCAGTGCATTCCACCCCCAAATTATCAATCTCTCTTATCCAAAATTTTCCACCCACGTTTCCCTAAACATACTGTCCACTACTATTCTTCCTGTTAATCTACCTTTTCATATCATTTCATATTTTCTTAATTTTTCACAATTAATGTCAATGCTTCCCCCCTCTCATCAAATTTAATGTTCTCCACCTCTACCGGCCTTTGCGCTCCACATCCGTAATTTTTACCGCACATATCATCGCCGTAAAGCCAAAGGGGCGTAAAAGCTATGCTTATACACACGACTTACGCCGCTTTGGCCCTACTACGATATAAACGATCGAATAAAATGAACGATTGAACCAATGAAACTTCTGTCTTTCAGGTTACGCCCACGAGTCGTGGTTGAATCACGAGGAGCCCCCGAAGTACGCAACGCTGCGCTCAGCAGCCGAACTAGCGAGACCAGTGTCCGAATCCCCCCCACCTCAGCACGATCACCACCCGAACATAGTCCCCCTGACCTCCCCGTCCCCCCCGCAACCCACAACGAACCTGCCACGCAACAAGAGCCTCTCCATGTGCTTCACAAGTACCGGCACAGCGCTCTCCCTGCCCCCAAAGAAGAAGGACATCTACCGGCCGTACAGCCTGCAGCCGTGCACCGAGATAATCCGCAGCTCCCCGGAGGAGGAGTTATCAGCAGCGCAGGCAATCCTGGACTTGAGTGCCTCCCCAGCAGCCCCAACGCACTCCGTCTTCATCCACACCCTCTCACTGCCACCGCCACCAGCACCAGCTGCTCAGCCAGCCGTACCAACAACCCCCCAACCAGTCCAGCAATCGCCAATACCAGTCTCAGTCCTGGTGCCAGTACCAACCCACAATGCTCAACGCCAGGTGAGCACACCTGAGCCCCGAGCCCTGGAGGAGACATCCGCCGACGATCCCACCAACTCCAACGGTGCCAGCAACAAAACCGTCGCCTACACCTACGAGGCCTTCTTCGTATCCGACGGTAGATCAAAGCGACGCTCAAGCACAGCAGCCGCTGTACCCGAGAAAGAAGCTGCCCAACCAGACCGGCCAAAGTTCACCTGCACCGAGTGCGGCAAACAATACGCAACATCATCAAACCTATCGAGACACAAGCAGACACACAGAAGTCTAGACTCGCAGTCAGCCAAAAAGTGTATTCACTGTGGTAAAGCATACGTGAGTATGCCAGCCCTGGCGATGCACGTATTGACCCACAAATTGGCCCACAGCTGTGGTGTTTGTGGTAAAATGTTCTCACGTCCATGGCTACTGCAGGGCCATTTGCGCAGTCATACGGGTGAAAAACCCTACGGCTGTGCGCACTGTGGCAAAGCATTTGCCGATCGCTCTAATCTTCGGGCACACATGCAGACACACTCCGCCGACAAGAACTACGAGTGCTCAAGGTGTCACAAAACATTTGCCCTCAAGTCGTACCTGAACAAACACCTTGAGTCGGCGTGTCTCAGGGACGATGAGCTACCACCGCAGCAGACGACTAACGGCCAGCATTCACCGCCACTCAATCGTGGATTGTAGCAGCACACCGGTGACGATGATTTGTCGGAGTCTGAGAGCTAACGACAGCATCTAGTAAATACCAATGTAAAAGTTATTTTGCGATAGATCCTTGTTTTTTTTATTTGGATTTATTTAGGTAGAGGAACAGCCGTTTCTCGATCCATGACTGGTGGCGCCACACGCGGTCTTAACGGGTCAGCAACAGGGCCGACTGGATTAGCAACAAGTGCACGAATTACGTGTTACTGGCGCTGAAGACCTTCGTAATAACAAAAAAAATAGCATACCGATGAGACCTAGGATGGGGCTGCTCTGTTCAAGAGGTTTGAGAAGTAGATTAAGTAGTAAAGTGCCAGTTTGCGGAGCGTTAAGCGTCTTCGAGTCCGCGCGGAAAGACTGTGCGGTTAAAGCGTTGGTAGTCGATCAATTCCCCTCGGGGGCATTAGAACAGAATAGCTCGAGGGGGGGAGGGGGAGGGAGATGGCAAATAACGGAAAAATGAGCTCAAACTGAGGGGGAAAAAGTCAAGTATTTTTCCAACTTTATGTTTTACTCCGTCCGAGGGGAAGAGGGAAATCCATTGACTGCCCACGCTGTGACTGATGACGATTATGAAATATAAATGTGGCAGTTATTCACGCCATGTATAGAATAACGAGGGAACGGAGATTTGCGAAGTAGATTAAGTAGAAAAGTGCCAGTAGAAAACAAAAATGATTAACATTCATAAAAAAACGTCCAGTAACTGTTAAGTCAAGCAAAAACAATGAAAATGAAAAACAACAAAAAAATTGTAATTATTAAATTAAAAACAATGAGGATTAATTTGAGAGTAAAACGTCTAATTGGTGACGTTCACAACGCTACAGTTCTAGTCACTCTAGTCGATTTTGTTTATACCTTTATCCAGGTATATACATAATTATATATATACACGAATATATTCTATACATATACAAAGGTATATATTATAAAATCTAAAAAATAACGAAAAAAAAAATTCACCAAAAAAATTAATACAAAAATAGTTTATATTACTATTAGGGGAAAATGAGGTTTCTAGTCACGCGCGAGGCGATAAATGCGATTATAATAAACCTTTTTAGCTGCCTGAATTGAATAACGCGCGTAAACGAGGACGCAAAACTTCGCGAATCTACTCTAAAACTAATAACTGTATCCTTTTTCTCGAAATATCCCATTGAAGACACCTTGAAGAGCCCTAAAAACTCAAACTAATACTCCTCTTTTCAACTTCTTCGTATTTCCGGGGCGGCACTCTCCCACATTATGCGCCTCCCCACCCCCCACGACCCTCCCCCACACTGTCTCCTTTCAATGCCGCCTATCGGCCAAGGGGCACGTCAGCCGCGCAACATTTCAGTTAATGCATGCGGTTATAGTAGTTTCATGCAGCTCAAAACTACGTTCGTATTACTTTGGCTTTTGGGTTTTAGTTTGGTAAATAGGCATTCACTGTCATTACAATCGCATTAAACCCAGTGGTATATTACCATTATCAGGGTGTTTGCTGTCCCGAGGGGGGGAGTGAAAAATGAGAACACGTGCCGAAACAAAGAGCGTAATTAAATGTCGTTTTTTATGGGCAATAAAGAAATTTCAGGAAATCCGTTTTTTTTATGAACATAGGGGAAATAAATTTTTGATTTTCAGTAACATTACACTGATTTTTAAGAACGTGTAATCGATTATTCACGGAGAAAAAAGTTGTCGGAAAGTTACGTTTGAACACGTAAAAATGACTTTTCGATAAAATTTTCAGAATCCAAGAGGAACAATTTATTTGTCATCACCTGCGTGTGAAATTAATATTTTTTCACGTTTTCCCTGAAATTTGTTTTCCCCGTGAATGAAATATTTCGGTATGATTCGATTTAATGGTGGAGTATTTCGTTCACAAAGTCACTTCCGAAAAACTGCATTCATTGACGTTGAAACGTTGCGAGCTGACGCAACAACTCACATGACGATAACCACTCCGGATTTTGCGATCGAGTTATATTGTTATGAGCATATTTTATATAGAGAACAAAATAATGAAAGAGTCCCAATATAGTATTATATGAGGACACGTGATGTTACGGTCTCAAAAGCAATGTTTCGAAACAACGAATTCTATGATTAAATAGAAAAAAAACACACCCACACATAACAACATCGAAATGAATTTTAATTAATGCGAAATCCAATATTATCGGTGAGGTTTAATGTATCTTTAAGATGCTTCGGGTAAACGCAATTACCGCCCTGCAAACATGTTCACAAATTTACGCGACAAAAGGTCAAAGTAAAGCGAAATGTTCTTTCGAGAATCGTCACATCAAAGCGTTAATTATGCGTCACACTGACGTCTGACAACGTGATTTTTACCTGATTGACACAATAATTTGTCCGCCACTAATTCAGTAACTTACAATTACAAAAATTCCTGTTTTAAATGCCATAAAAACACTCAATTAATTGCTGAACATGCGTGCAGCGGCGCCTATGCTCTTTAATATTTATTAATCGCTGAAGCTTCGACGCCCTCGGTACTAAGTTGAGAGATAAAATGACGAATACTCCATGAATTAACAAAGATGCTAACAAGTCTTTTATAATGTTACGACAAATAATCTCATTGCATGTACAGTAGACCAGTTAGCAGACGCAATATTTTCACTTAAGTTCTGCCGTTTAAAGGGAGAAATGACGAAGTGAAATAGAATAATTAAATGCGTGTGATAAACAAACATTTCCCCTGCCTGTAGAACTGCGATATTGCATCGAAGCCAATTCCCACACACGCGAAGCATTATCGAACAAAACTAGAGGAATAAAAAAAATAAATAATTACGAAATTTCCACTTTGTTTTTGCGCCAAGTGGCCGAAACCAGAGTGGACTGAATATGATTCAATGGCAGTATTTGCCACTGACTCGACGATTTTAATATACATTTTATAGTTTTTAACGATATTTATTCATTATAATTTATTTTCTAGTCAAATTGATTTGTTGAGATTGACATTTTGTGACTGATTATGTATACGGTTTCTAGTCCCCCCGCCCCCATGGATTAATGTAATAATTTATTTGATTGTATTTATTTCAATGATTTATTATTGTACCAATACAACGACTCGATACAACGATCGAACAACAAGTGATTATTATTTCATTTATTTTCCTCATTTCTTGATCAACGACCCTAGGACAATTAGCCAGTAAAATTCGCGTTACAATCTTTTATTTTATTATCATATACACGGGAACGATAACAGGAACTAACGAAAGAAGAGCATATCCAGGTTTTCGTCCTTCTTCGGTGTAATTTGTAGATGATAAATCGGCTAATCCGAGAATAATTAAAATTAACAATGAAAAATAAACCATTAATAATATACAAAAGCTCAACCCTGTTATCGCAAGTTCAACGTTACTAGAGGTGCTCAAAGACGTATGTGTACAAACAAAAAAAAATTATATAGATGAGTGATGAAAAAAATAATAATTAAATTTGATGGAATATTTATTGTTAATACGGGGTATTTAGCGGTAGATGATTCGTATATTTCAATTATGATAAGCTTCCACATTGCATATTATCGCATTCGAATGGATTGAATTCCCCTATGTTTTCACATTCCAATTTTTGAGATGAACATTTTCCTGTTGAAAAAACAAAAACAATTTAAGTAGAAATATTTCTTCGAATTCTCTCAACTTCCTGTTTCGCTCTCGTCTATTTCTTATTTCCTGTTTCAAATTATCCTAGGCACAATTACATTGCGAGGAGTATACATATAACGAAGTGAGAAGCTAATGAATGATGAGTAATAATTCGCTTTATCGTTGAATTTTTCCAAAATTTCAAGCATTCTGCAGAATTCACATGTTTGCTGCACGCGCTTTTAATCTCTTGAGCTGTGCATCTCTCAACGGATCTTTGTCTCTCTGACTAAAGGTACTTTCAAACGTAGTGAAGATAAATTGAACATGAAGGAGATTCTACAGTGAGTGCGTCGCAGAATTAACGCGACGACTGCAATTTGTTGAATCAATCATTTAATTATTTTTCGATTATTTCGATAATTTCACGCGTTGCGTCAGGCCTACGGTGTGTCCATCGTGGAATCTCCTTGAGAGTTCTTATAAAATAGCGCATCACCATTCGAACACGCAGCACTGTTGAAAAATTTCGGTTGAAATTGAGGATGAAGGAATCTTCGATTGAAATTCGATGATAACTTGAATATCGGCGAGGTTTTATGAGATTTCAGTCGAATGGCGCACATTCTGCTCTATTTTAAAGAATGACAATTGCATCTCCGGGAATTAACCAAGGAAAAGTGGGGTAAAACAGGTCATTTTCACTGGTGAATATCTAGTGACCAAACGATACGATTTAAATGAGACAAAAATACCTCCAAAAGAAAAAAAAATGAGAAAAACGTTCTCGAGTCATTGGCGACTGCAGGTACTCCGTTTTACCCCATTTCTCCTATTTTATTCCCAGAATATAGTGCAGTTGGTGCAATAATTGAAAGATTCCACCTCTTCCGATCGAATTGTATGAGGAATTTGAAATTTTATGACTGGGTCAATAATTTTCTGAACAAAATTGGATGTTAAAAGTCTCAAAGAATTAAATTCTTCATTTTTGGAGGAAACAGCAGATCTATACCAAATTTACTCTGAATTTTCAAGGGACAGATCAATATTTTTTACGAAGAAATGAATATTAATGTGTAATTGTTCGGAAAAAATGGATTTTCTTTATAATTTCATGGCGGAATGAATTTTTGTGAACAGAATTTAATACTGATAGCCTCTACAGAATATTTCGTCTGATTTTACTCCACTCAGAATTAAAATTTCGCTCTAATTCTAATTGCTCCTGATCAATTTACCACAGGTGTTTAAAAAAATCCAGAAATTCACGGATTCCTTGAATTTCGAGGAGCCCTCATTCGAAATTTCAACCAAAAAATTTTCCCCAGTGATTTATTACCGTCCCGCT